GCACATGACCACAATGTAAACATCGGGCCACGTGCTTTGACAAAAGACGCAAGACACGAGCACACGGTAGATGAACACCTTACCGTGCGCTCACACATAAGCAACGCGTATGCTTCATCTCAGCGCCAACCAAAACTGAAACCAACTAGACGGAGGCGCCGAGAATAAAGCAGCGCGCTGCTGACAGAACAAACACAAACACTAGTACAAGAGCGCGCGCGTCTGACGGACGCAGTGCGTGCACGGCCACATCAAGCGGCAGCGCGCACACTCTGCGTACACCCTTGACGGCGCGCGCGCACACAGAGACAGAAACAGGACCAGACATGGGTAGTGTCAGAGCTCTGCTACCAAAACAAGAATTTACAAAGACCAGAGTGGCAGAACCCTGACACTGCCGGATCATGGCTCTAAAGACAAAAGTAATAATTTGGTATTATCAGGATTCCCGTGTTTCTTTAAAGTTCTTGAAAATACTTGAATTTAAGACATGATTTCTAGGCCTGGAAAATACTAAAAAATAAACAAACACTCACTGGCCGCTTTATTAGGTACACCTATCCAATTGTTCGCAAATTTTCAATCAGCCAATCACATGGCTGCAACTCAATGCATTTAGACTTGTAGGCATGGTCAAGACGATCTGCTGCAGTTCCAAACGAGCATTAGAATGGGGAAGAAAGGTTATGTAAGTGAATTTGAACGTGGCATGATTTATGGTGCCAAACAGGCTGGTCTGACTATTTCAGAAACTGCTGATCTACTGGAATTTTGATGCACAACCATCTCTAGGGTTCACAGAAATTGGTCCGAAAAAGAGAAAATATCCAGTGAGTGGCAGTTCTGTGGGCGCACTTGTTGCTGTCAGAGGAGAATGGCCAGACTGGTTTGAGCTGATAGACAAGCGACAATAACTCAAACATTACTACATACTAAGGTATGCAGAAAAGCCTCTCTGAACACACAACATGTCGAACCTTGAAGCAGATGGGCTACAGCAGCAGAAGACCACACCGGGTTCCCCAGTCACCAAATCTCAATCCAATAGAGCACCTTTGACAAGTGATGGAATGGGAGATTCACATCATGGATGTGCAGCAGAAAAGTGTGCAGTAACTGTATAATACAATCATGTCAATATGGACCAAAATCTCTGAGGAATATTTCCAGTACCTTGTTGAATCTATGTCAATCTATGATTTTGCGTTTATACAACAGTTTGACAGCATAATTGTGTATATAAAAACAAAATCAAACATGGAGAGTCTCAAAAACCCTTTTGTATGAGGAACTACTTTCTTCCGCGTTGGATTCAAATCATAAGCTAACAGTTAAACAGCTGAGCAAGCATCCTTTAAACTTTAGATTTGTAGTGTCTGCTTTTGCTGGCTGTGTGTGGGCGGAGTAGTACACAAAAGGTAAAGAGGCTGTATGGGTGCTGATATTACTTAAATATATCACGGCTATCAGCCAATCAGATTCGAGAACCAGACAAAACTGTTGTATAAATATATATATGTACATCACACACACACACACACACACACACACAGATGTGTACAGTATACTGTTGGGGATGTGAATCACAAAAAGTCCTTGAATTTGGTGTCCATGAGAAAATTGGAGCCCTGTATTGTTTTAGATATTAATTCTTAAAATATTAAAATGTTTGATTAAATATAGGCACACTTGGTAAGCATAAGAGACTTCTTTCAAAAAAACTGTTGAAAATGTACCATTTATCAACCCCATATTTTAATGAGAACATTTGGACAACTCTTGATGCTTGCATCATGATAATATTTATTTTATTTTATTTTTGTCTTTTTTAAAAGCTCAAAAGTCTGCATTTATTATAAGTTCATTAGAAATCAATAAAATTTGTGAATTTTTGTGTGATCAACATAAGAAAGAAAGTCATACAGGTTTGGAACAACATTAAACATTTTTAGTAAACTGTCCCTTTAACAAGAACACATTTGTTTTTTTCTCCTACATTTGTTTATGCTTCTGAATTGCATTATGTGACCTTGATCTTTCTTCCAACAACTTTTTAACCTTGAAAAGTTTGAAAAAGCTACTTTTATTAACATTTTAAGAGTGTAAAGTGAAATATCGTCTGGATTGGTGTTGAATATATTAAGGTACTAAAACCTTGCAATAAACTGCCAGAACATTTTCTGGTATTTTAGACTCTTTTCCTATACATTCACTTTATTAGGTACACCTTACTAGTACTGGATTGGACCCCTTTTTCCTTCAGAACTGCCTCAATCCTTCATGGTATAGATTCAACAAGGTACTGGAAATATTCCTTTAAAGATTTTGGTCCATATTGACATGATAGCATCACGCAGTTGCTGCAGATTTGTCGGCTGCACATTCATGATGCGAATCTTTATGCTCTATTGGTTTGAGTTCTGGTGACTGTAGAGGGCGTTTGAGTAATGTGTTTAACTATTGAGTTACATATTCAACATCAAAAAGATTCGACACAGCAGAAATCAACAACCCATAATGCAATTCCTAACCGGAAATAAGCAGAAAACACATGGAAACTGTTAATGAACAGATATTCATTCATTTTCTTTTCGGCTTAGTCTCTTTATTAGTCTGGGGTCACCACAGCAGAATGAACAGATGCCCTTCCAGCTGCAACCCATCACTGGGAAAGATCTATACACACTCATTCACACACATACACTACAGACAATTTAGCTTATCCGATTCACCTGTACCGCATGTCTTTGTATTGTGGTGGAAACTGGAGAACCCGGAGGAAACCCACGCCAACACGAGGAGAACATGCAAACTCCAAACAGAAATGCCTGCTGACCCAGCTGAGGTTCGAATCAGTGACCTTATTGCTGTGAGGCAGTCGTGGTACCCACTGCGCTACCGTGATGCCCAATAACAGATGTTTTGTATTGTTTTTTTATCTTTCCCCTTTTTCCCCTTTCTATTTAAAATGTTTTGTTCATTCCCAAGCATTTGGATTTAATTTGTTCCCCATAAAACAACTAGTCACCCAATTAAACAACCAAGGCTAATCCCAACCAACAAGAACCCAAAAAACCACATGCTCACGGAGCAGATTAACTGAAGAATAAATCCAAACTTTAGGCTTTGAATCATTTTTAGGGATTAACGAAGCACCACTGGTGTTTATTTGCATCTGAGGGAAACGGCTCACAAATAAGCAGTTTTATTTTGCTACACTTCAGATCTGGACTGCCATATTTTATTTTTTTTGCCACTCAAATAACTCAATAAACGCTCAGCAAAACTAGGTCAGAGATATGCAACAGCTCTCGCCTGCGGACACAAACTCTCGAACCGTTTCTGCAGTACATTGCGAGGGAGTCTGAGCTGCATTGGAAGTAGATACTGTGAAGAACAGGAAGTTCTGTGAGTTCAGTCTAATAAGACATTGTGCAGTTGCATTGGGGTGTGTGTGTGTGTAAAGCCAGCTTAGTGTATCTCTGTGTATGTGTGTGTGTTTGAAGAAAAGAGATGTCATTTCACACTCAGCTGACTTGGAGGCGTCCCGCAGAGCTGGTTGGTCTACACTTGATCTGTGGAGTGATAGTCAACATTGCAGACCATCAGAGGCCAATGAGGCAAACACCACTGGGACTTTTATCTCATCAACATGTTCTGCTGTATTGTGTGTTTCTGAGCAGGGATCTGACCATGTGGTTTAGACTAACCTAATCGAAGAAGCATTCATTCATTCATTCATTCATTCATTCATTCATTCATTCATTCATTCATTCATTCATTCATTCATTCATTCATTCATTCGTTTGTTTGTTCATTCATTCATTTTTTCATTCATTTGTTTATTTCATTTATTTGTTTGTGTTTGCATATCTGTTATTGTATTTATTTAATTATTATCCACTGTATCAATTTGTCTTTCTTACTAATTTATAACGTAATCCATTACTTTTTTTTCACATGTTAATATTTTTCCATTTACCCCTTTTATTGAATTACTTATTAATTGATTTGCACAATTATGTATTTACCCATTTTCTGTTCATTTGCATTTAACCATTCATCTTTCAATTATTCGTTTGTTTGTTTGTTTGTTTGTTTGTTTGTATTTATTTATTTATTTTACAGTTTTTGACTATTTATTTGCACATTTATGTTTATTTACACATTTATTTATTTACCTGTTTATTTCTTCATTTACAATTTTTTATTATAATTTATTTAATTATTTATATGTTTATAATTTAATTTATATATTTATAATTTATATATATATTTTCATCATTTTAAATATTTATTTATATTTAAATAATTATATTTAATAATAAAAAATACAAATATTAATTAATATCATAATAATTGTAACAATTGTAGCATTTTATATATTATTGTATTGTTCATAATTTATTTAATGATTTATATATTTAAAATGTATTTAATTACTTATATATTTATTTATTAATTTACCTATTTATAATTTATTTATATTTTTATAATTTATTTACTTATGTATTAATTATTTACGCCATATTTATTTATTTATTTATACATATATTATTAGTTTTAAAAAAAAAATTATAGTTAAATAATAATATTTTCTAATAAAATTATATGTTATAATTGTATCATTATATTTATTATTGTAACAATATAAATATAAATTATATAAAATTTATATATATATATATATATATATATATATATATATATATATATATATATATATATATATATATATATATATATATATATATATCCTCAGTGTATTAATCTTTTTATTGCTTTAATCTAAATAAGCTTCAGCTTCTAGGGATTTTTATTTTATGTAGACACCATGTGTGTTTGTGTGCAGCCATGAATGTTGACAGAGCTCTTTATCATATGGAGTGGAAATGTTAGCTTTTTCGCATGAATATATTGACATTCACATAACCGGCGCAGCCTTTTATCGCTTAGCGGACACGCTGGACTGATTGCAGCTCTTTCTCTTTCTGCCACAGGTGCTGAAAGGCAGCAAAAAGCTCTGCATGTCGGTGCGTTCTGTGGGCAGGATACCAGGCGGTTATATCACCAATCACGTCTACACCTGGGTGGATCCTCAGGGGCGCAGTGTGTCTCCTCCACCCGACCTGCTGGCGGAGCATCGCAGTGCCACCCTGCGCAGGTCCAACAGTCAGGGCCGCAGTCACATGCAGCTACTGCAGGATGGAGATGAGAAGAAGGTAACATACACATACAAACGCACACTTCTATAGTGCCTCCAGAGGTTGTTGAACTGTATAGATAAAATAATCAGTGGGTAAAATTTACACATTGTGACTACTGTTTGATATGGCTAAAAAGTCAATGATGTCATATTTATTACACTACTGTCCTCACACTGTAATGTTTAGAGTCATAGTGTAACCCCGCTGGTCTTACACCACCCAACCTGCTCCGAGCTGGTATCAAACCGACGACCTTCTGCATCCTCTAACAAGGTGGCACAGCACTTCACTAACTGGCCTCTGCTACACTCACCCCCCTAAACCTCACTCCCGGAGGTCAAAGGAGTGAGGTTTACATGCACAGCACTTCACTAA